ATCCTTAATAAATCGATCACGTGATTAATGGACGTTCCCTTATTAAGTGCTATTGTCATTGTCTAAAATTTTATACATAAACTTAATCATTTAAACTAACATTAACATTCCGAATTTGTACAGAGCAAAATAAAATTCATTCATAAGTTTCACACGTTTCAACAACCTGTCATCAGTGATATAAATAATTAAGCACATTAATTATCACATTTAATCAACAATTACAAAAACATCATATAATAATTCACCTACCACCCCCCCTCCCCCGAGATGTCCAAACCCCGTAATCCCATTAAATAATAACTTCCATAATCAAATGGCCCTATACTCGAATTTATTTAGAACGGGCCCCACACAACCAAAACCCTACCAGGAGAGGTTAGAGTAAAGGGACTTACAACACAAAGTTATGCCATCATATCGAATGGCCAACAAAACGAGAGCGACAGAGACGCAGATAGCGACCCAAACAGGTGAGCGACAGAGACAAACGTATATAAGAAGTGAATTCTTGGCGGGTGCGAGAGGGAAGGATAGATATCACCGACGCAGGTTGTAGAGTGATGGAAAGAGATGGCATGAGGGATAAAGAATTCTCGAATACGGGAGAGAGAAAAAGAGGGCAGAGGTTCTCAAAAGGGATAAAAGAATTAATGATAGTCAAGGTGTAAAGAAAATAAAATGTAAAGAGAAAAAATAGAAAAAATAGAGATGAAAAGAGAAAAAATTAATAAGAAGAGAAAAAAGCGATATAAAGCAAAATAGAGATACAAAGAAGAAAAAAAGAGAAAAAAGAGACAAAAAGATAGAAGAGAGGAAAGAAAAAGATAAAAAGAGACAAAAAGAGTTAAAAAGAGACAGAAAAAATTAAAAAGAGACAGAAAAAGTTAGAAAGAGACAGAAAAGTTAGAAAGAGACAGAAAAGTTAGAAAGAGACAGAAAAGTTAAAAGAGACAGAAAAAGTTAAATAGGGACATAAACAGATAAAAAGAGAGAAAATATGTAAATAAGTATTTTATAAATAATTTAGTAAACTTCTGTGATAGTCTTCTGTAGTAATAGTAATTTAGTAAACTTTGGTAGTTTTCTGTTTTGAATCACGAGTGGCTAAAGGAGAAATTAAGTTTCGCCAAAAATTATGATTTGCTAATTTTATGTTTTCTCGACATTACAGGCCATTCTAACTCGAATGAGACCAAATTTTGGAAAAGTATGCGTGTGTGTGTGTGTGCAGTAGTGCTTGTAGAGCAAAATGATGTTAGTCAATACTACAAACAATTTAAATTTGTATAAGTTTCTCAAATACATCATATACATATTAATCAAATGCTTTTAAAATTATAAAAGATATGTAAAAGTGATGCACTTTGCAAAAAAGGCCCTTCACTGCTGCAATTGTTCCTGCCTTGTTCGTGGATGAAATTAAAAAAAAAAATCTCATTTACTAGCTGTAAGTGGAATTTTGTCTTAAGGCAATTAAGGCATCGTGCCTTAAGGCAAATTGCTGGAACTTCCCGTACCGCAATTCAAAATTCGAGTTATTAAAAATAATCATAATAATAAATAAAAGTTGATCAATGATCTGATACTTTAATAAAATTTCGAACTATATGAAATCATTTATTGAAATATTTTGGAAATTCTGAACTTCAAAGCAATCGTACTGCTTTAACTGCACAGAGACAAAAATATAACGCATAAAAAATGGTACGAAACCCATAGGAATGTAAACAAAATTTATACTTTTTGTTAAAATCTCTATAAAATATCTGATAAATTTATGTGCATATGTCTAATGATAATTTTTGACCGCCAAATGGCTTTTTTTTACTTTTTTTACTAGATCTCCAAAACCGCAAGACTTGCCTTCATGAAAATTTGATCAGTTGTTCATCTTGTTCATAAAAGTAAAACGTTTTTTGAATTATTCAAATCGGACACTTCGTTCTCTTAAAAACTGAGTTGCCATTTTTAGCACTTTTTGCCACGTATCTTCGGAACGGCTAGACCTGCCTACGCCAAAAAATAATCAGCACGTCTCCTTATCAAAACGAATCGAATGTTTTTTGAATTATTCAAATCGGTTTGTCGGTGTTCCCGAAATCGCCGACGAAAATTTGTATCCGCACACACACACATACATCCATTTTTTCTAAGGTATGCCAAAATGTTCAGAAACCTTTGAAACGTAAAGATATATATAAAATTTTCATTTTCGATTTTTTTGCGATTACTATAACTTACCCTACGGGAAGTTAAAAAGTTAATAGAGACAAAAACAGATAAAAAGATAGAAAATATAGAAAATATCTATTCTTTTATTTATTATCTTTATAAATAATTTAGTAAAACCGGTAGTTTTTCTATTTCGAATTACGAGTTGCTCTAAGACCCTTCGTTGAAAGTTATTTTGCTAATTTATGTTTTCTCGACATTACAAGCTATTCTGAATCGAATGAGAGCAAATTTGAAAAATTATGTATGTGTGCGCCAATTTCTTAAAATAAAGTTACCCTAAACATAATTTATATTAGTCTATTTATTTAAGATTTTTAAACGATGTGCAAATTGATTTGATATATTTAATTTTCAGTTACAATTTTAAAATATACCTAGTAGTGCTGTAAATCAAAATGATGTAAGACAATACTGCAAACAATTTAATTTTGTTTAAATTCATAATAATCGAATGCTTTTAAAATTATAAAAGATATATAAAAGTGATGCATTTTTGCATAAAAGTGTCATAATTAAGATGTTCATTCGCTTTAGTAATTTTTGTTGATAAGTTATAGCATTTAATGTTGTACAAATTTGTCGAATACTGCATTTAGATTAGACTACAGTTTTGAAGCAAATTGAAATAATGTTTAGCAAAAAACGTTTGAGGATCTGTGGACGAGTATATTGCAAATGAAAATAAGTTTCCTATTCCAAGCACACGTTCTATAATATCGTATATATACAAATATATATATAATATATATATATATATATATATATATATATTGTATATATAAATTTATAAATGTAGTATTTTTGTTCCATTTGCATTTATTAAGAAAATGTTTGTTCAACCGAATTACGAGCGAATGATATGAATCGTTTTAATTGCGGGAACGTTAATTAAAATATTATATTATTATTTAAAACATGATACGATTATAGATTAGAACAAAAAAACTGCATACAACTTACAATAAATAAAACTAAGTGTATTGTGTTCATATTCACATATTTAATATAATATTATATATTATAATATAATAAAAAATATTTTTTTCAAAAATAGTTACAAAATTAAATACTCAATTTATATATTTTTTTGTACATATCATTCTCTCTCTTTATATCTATCTATCTCTCTCTTTATATCTATCTATCTCATTTTTTATATCTATCCTCTATCCTCTATCATATATTTGCATCTCTTTCTATCTTCGAATATAATACTCCACCTAAACGATTATTCGAATTTTGATAAATCTTTCTAAAGTTTGGTAAGGAAATTTTTTAACATGTATGTGATTTTAAAAATATAGTAATTCTGTTGAAATAAATGGAAGAAGTTGAAAAAAAGCGACATATCATTGTTTGACATTGAAAATATTTGAAACATTGTTTGGAATTTGAATTGAAAACAAATGAGCACTGTCATCTCCAAACATTTTAATTTACTTATAAACCTAGACAATATTAGAATATGTATAATAAATTTATGAATGATTGTCAATAAGAAAAATGAAATGTATACATTATTATTGCCAAAAAGCAGCTGAGATGTGCCAGAAATTAAAATAATACAAGATATATTAAAATATACAGTATATGTATGGCAGATTGAATGATACATATGTGAACAGGATTTGACAAATTAATTCACTTAAAATATGAAATTAAGTAATAATCAGGGGAGGTCCTACTTTGAATGCGACGCACGCTCTAGGGGGCGCCAACATAAGATTCGGATATGAATTTTTCAATATAGTTTTATTCTTCAATATATTGCAAGAATTATATGATTTTTTTGCATATTTTACTAATCTTGGCAAAATATTTTGAAAATACGTCAAAAATTTCACTTTAAAACAACAAATGGAAATGTAAAGATGAATACAACAATTCGGCCCTCACGATATCGATTAAAAGAAGTTTAAGATGCAATTTTGGATATCTTGAATAATAAACAATTAAATTGATATAATCCAACATAAAGTCCAAGTGTTATGTTTAAAACGAATGGCTAGAATTTTTTTGCTCTCTATGATTTGCTCAATAGAATGAATCGCATAAATATGAAAATATGAAAAATAAATAAGTAAAATGTTTCAAAAGCCAAATATTAATTAATGATAATAATTTTAATATGATCTTGAAACAGATAAAATAATAGGGGGCAGTGGGGCGCTAGAAAAAAATACTGGAGAAAGGACTTTTTAAAAAATATTTTTTACCAAGATTTTACACATGTGTAGAACGAATTTCGAATCCTTTGCACGTCATTTTTATTGTTTTGTGAGAAATTTGGAAATACTATCTAAATAAAAGAGATTTATTTATTGTGTTATTGTTGTAAATAGTTAAAAAAGATCCTTCTATAATTCTTCGTTTGAATAAATTTTGTTCGAATTGTAGTACAGTCGGGTTAGAAAAGTCCATATTGTGTTTTAAAGTATGAATATGCTCTGCAATCATAGTTTTAAATTGTCTCGGATTTTTTAAATTGATTTTATGTTGTTGTAAACGTTTCATTTTTCAGTTCTGGCTTGTTTCTCCTATGTAAATTAAATTACAATCTAGACAATTAATTTTATAGACGAGATTTCTAAGTCGTTCGATATTAAAAGGAGTATGGATTAGGGGTACGTATGGATTTAAAATAAATTTTTGAAAGAAATTCACGTTTTTTATTGATGTTATGCCCGGTTACTAGACTTTGTATATATATATATATATATATATATATAATATCCTTGAAATATATACATATTTCCACTAACCTCTCCGAAAACCGCAAGCGAGTTCAACTCGGGCGCACTCGCAGGTTCCACGTAAAGGCGAAGACTCGCGAGGGTCCTGTCGCCTCCTGCTACTCCGGCACTCCTGAAAACAAAAAAAAAATTACATTTTATTAATTAATATATATATAATATATATATATATACATAATTATATATAAATAGTTTTGTACTTCACATACAATACTAAATGATACATAATGCGATCGAAACGAGAAACAAAAGAGTGCGCGTAAGGTTCACACGCGATTGAAGTAAAACTTATTTGCTGTACTACGAGATGGCATTTAAATAAAAATAAATACATCATAACAATTTTAAATAATATTTCTCAGTAATATGGTAACACTCGTGTGATCACACATTTATTAGTGTCAACCATTATACACATTTATATAAAGTATGGCTTTATACTTCAAATATGACATGATCGGTTTGTCATTGCAATTAGCATTTAGAAGTGAAGTAATGGCTGATTATAAATTCTATAATATTCGTTCACACGGTGAATTATGTTAAACAACGCCTAAACAAATATTATTTTCATAATTTCACTCGTCATCATATAATATTTGTGTTTGAAGAACTTCATGTAATTAAAATTAACATACTTTCATTGACTGATTGTATTTTTTTTACTTTTTCGATGGCTATATAATTTCATTCTTTGAACAGTTGTGATATCTGTCTTTCCTAAAAAATATTTTCCATTTTAATAACTTAGATTTATAGAAACTGCAAGTCCATTTTTGATTTTATTTTTAGTTTTAGAGTCGCTTTTTAATGTTATTTTTACATTGCTCGTCAGTAGAGTCCATTTTTATTCATTTTTAATTAATCATCAGTTGAGTCCCCTTTCTTTCATTTTTACATTGCTCGTCAGTAGAGTCCCATTTTCTTCCATTTTTAATTTAATTATCAGTATAGTTTATTTTTTCTTTTATTTTGAATTAGTCATCAGTAGAGTCAATTTTTGATTTTATTTTTAGGTTGCTCGTCGTAGAGTCCCTTTTTCTTCTTTCATTTTCAATTTTACTCGTCAGTAGAGTCTATTTTAATTTTATTTTTAGTATGCTCGTCAGTAGAGTCTTTTTCTCTTTCATTTTTAATTTATTACCAGTAGAGTCTCTTTGAATTTTATTTTTATTTTGATCGTCAGTAGAGTTCCCTCCCCTTTCATTTTTTAGTTTGATCATCAGTAGAGTCCCTTTTACCTTTAAATTTAATTTAATCATCAGTAGTCTCTTTGAATTTTATTTTTATTTTGGTCGTCAGTAGTCCTTTTTTTTCTTTTCATGTCTTGTTTTTCAGTTTGCTCGTCAGTAGAGTCCTTTTTTTCCTTTCATGTCTTGTTTTTCAGTTTGCTCGTCAGTAGAGTCCTTTTTTTCCAACATGTCTTGTAAAAAATAGTTTGGTACATCTAGTAAATGCACTCGACTCTTATCTTATCTGCCGTAACGCGCTTCCGTTGCATTTGTATAGATTTACACCCTAGTCGCGCCTAAAGAAATTTTGATTCAAAAAGTGCAGAAAACTGAAAAAAGAAGCATAGGGCAAAAAAATGTGATGACCTTATCCTCTACCCCTTACCTGTGTTCCGTCCAAAGAGTTGCAGCTCCGCGACTCACAACAGGGCCGAATCCGACCAGGGCCGAACACACAAAAATCACTGAGGGCCACCACTCTCGTCTGTTTCTCAACACATAACTATCACTACTACTACCGGATACTT